TTATCCGTGCCCGCTTCCCCGGCAGCCGCTGCAGTCAGCGCCACTGCCTCGGCTGACCCCATCAGGCCCGATGCATGTGCCCTGCTGGCACGGGTCCCACTCTCGGGGTTCCCTGCGGGCTTCCCCCGCCTCCTTCCCGGCCCTGCTTCCAGGGCCGTCTTTTATCTCAGCCGGGCGGCGTCTCCCGCCGGCGTCGCCCGGCCCCAGCTGGATATAAGCGCGGCTCACAAACCACGCTGGCGGTTTCCCCGCGCGCGTGTCCCTACTCGCTCTGGCCTCTGTGTGGGGTAAGTAGGTGGTTACTCCCCCCCGGTCCGGCCCGGGGTACCCTTCTAACCCCCGCGTCCCTGGGACACAGTCTTTTGACAATGTAAACATGCCCTTACCCTATGCTTGTAGAGTGCCCAGTATCATGGAAAACCAATGTGGTTGGGGCTTCTAGGTAGTAATGTACTGCAAATAATGGGAACAAGGAATCAGAGGTGAAGTGACATGCTTAACATCACTGTAGTAGCTAGGAATGGAATCACGTTTTCTGACGTTCATTTGTGGGTTTCAGTCAAATGACCATCTCCAGTACACATAGGTAAACCTATTACTTACTTATTATCTTTAATGACCTGCCTTTTAACTAGTTATTATACAATGGTACTTACTTATCTAGAGAACTTTACATTCTAACTGGAAAAATCTTGACTGAAATAAAAGGCTTCAAAGCATGAAAACAGTCTGCATAAAGTTCAAGAGTACTGTGAGCCAAATCTCAGATTTTTGCTCATAAATTTTGATATTGCAAAATTTGGCTTTGTTCAGATTTGGAATACAACCACATTTTAAATAATTCTCATGAAATGGAAATTCTGGAAAATGTTATTGCAGGAGCATCAGCACATGTTGATTTGGAAATAAAATATGCTTCCAGGAATTCAGTGAAACTGATAAGAGTTTCATCAATTTCACTGATATCTACCAATGAGTGGCAGGCTGTGAAACTGTCAGTCATAAAGGGGCTGGTTTCCAGGGTGGCCCTTTTGATAGGGCAAACTGCATGTCAAGTCTTCTTCAGGGCCAGAGATGCTGTACCATTGGAAAATCCCGGAGGTAACACTACCTCTGAGCTATAAACCTTAAAGGCCCCTAGTCTCCTGAGCAGCCTGTTTGGTGAACTGGTAGGAAATAAAGCAGGTATCTGAAGAAAGCCTATCTAACCAGCAGACTTGTGACTGCCTCCTCCCTGTAACATGATGAGAAGTCGCCCAAACAACCATGCTGTCATGAAACAGGGTCGGATTTTTTTTTAGTTTTGATGAGCCAGCAAGTTATGAAGAAATCATGTTCAGTCAGATAATTCCTGATCAGCTTTAGTCAAGACAATCTGAATGTCTGTATCAGAATTGGAATTCCTAACTCTATATTTGGGCACCTAAATAATAAGCCTGATTTTCAAGAGTACTGAGTACCAGCTGTTCCCACAGAAGTAAAAAAATTGACCACAGTAGACCATATGCCAAATTAGCTTAGCCTCTGTAGCTGAAAGCCAGTTATTGCAAAGAGCATGTTACTCGCTGAAATATATATTTTTCCTTCAAACAAGTATTAATTTTAGCAACGTCTATAATTAAACACTTTTCTTGGCTAATCAAATGCCTTTTTTGAGAGTGTTATGTCAGAAAGGTTTTTTTTCCCTTCCATTACACAGGGAGCCAAAAGTTGATATATTTTATTTGGATTACTTTTTTAATAATCTTATTTTATACCTTTTTGTATTTGTGCTCCAGTGAATCAGTGGGTGGGGGGGAGGGAGGATTATGAACATCTGATACAGATATGATTTTTGAAGTTCTCTCTTTCTCTCCCTTTCCCCTCCCCCGACCACACACGCACACATGCACGCACGCACGCACAGATAGAAACCATAGAACACAACTGTATTTATAGATTATTTACACAGAAATTATGCTCTTAGAAGAAAAAAATCTTACAACAGAGCTCTCAAACCTCATGGGGCTCAATCTCCATGCTAAACAAAATGTTTTAAAAGTTATCATAAACCATGTGCACATAGGAATAGCTGTCTTTCAGACACATGCCTACAAAGACAAAACACAAGCATTTTGGGCAGGACTAGGCATTATGCTTTCTGGCCTGCATTGTGAGTACATACCGTGCAATGAAACATCGTTTGAGCTGTCCATATTTTGGTTTAGGCATATTGGAGTAAACTGTACAGCAAGTAAACTTGGAAAAGTTGGAGTTATGACTCCAAACTCTCACTGCTAGGCAATGTAACACTGTATTCACAGCTACATGGCTTGTCTCAAACGTCCCATCATCTGGGAACAGGCTATAGAGCCTTGCCTGACAGACCTTGTCTGTCTCTTCAGTTTCAGTGAGAGTGTTCTTTTCAAATCACGTGTGATTTTAAAAATCATGTAGCCACATATTAGAGCCCTTCCTGCCCTAGTCATGTTCATGTGAGAATCCCTCAGAGACTGCTCTTGCCCCATAACCCCAGGATTGATGGCAAGAGTTCCTTCAGAGGATGAAAAGGATACCTTTTCAGGAGCTGAAGTAACTTATAATATTTAATAATTAAAAAAGGCTTTCCTTTGGATGCCTTTTAAAAATAAATCAATAGAAATACTTCTACTCATTTTAAGGTTTTGTAAATGTTTATTTCTTTTAAACTAGAGTTTATGTTGCATTTGGCCTGGTACTGCCCCTGATGCATCAGTAACAAAAAGCCAGATTCTAGCTCCCTTCACATACTGAATATTCTGATTGAATTAAGTGCAAAGGAAGTAGGCTAAGGTGATACAAATCTTGAGTAAAAACATCAAAATGTGGTTCATTATAGTGAAACCTTAAAAATATGTGGGGGTGGGAGTTAAAAAGGAGCGTATTTGCATGAATAGGTGCCTATACATGTGCTCCAGGATGGGAGGGGGAGGCTAATTACAGTGGCTCTCAGGAGGTCTAATTAAAACGCCTGCAGTGTCTTGTGTATTCAGCATCCTGCATTTCAAAATGGTGCCTGGGGTGCTTTAACTGAAGCTTGCCTGACACCATTATAAAACTGAACAAAAAATGTATTAAACACCAGCACCATCTTTCTAGGACCAGCTAAATGTCTATAAAGACATTATTAGGCCTTTCAGCAAATGTGTACCTTTAATTATTATTTTCTTGGCTTCTCAGCAGGTTACTGACTTTCTGAAATGCTGTAGCACATGACAGAATGGTATGATGTCAGGAACACTTCTGGCATAAGGAGTCCATCCCTGGAGAAAAATCTGAGACTTGATTTTTATAGGATATAAAACAAAAATATTTAAAAAGAAAATCCTAGGTATCTTCACAGTTTTTGGCTCTTTTTACTCATGCCTCTTCCTTGAAGGGATGCAGGAAGAAACTAATTTGAAAATCATACTCAAATAAACGTTAGTTTCAGTTTAAATGGACAAATTTCTACTCATGTCTATGCACAAACATGACCATAGGGATTGTCTGTAACCCTCAACTCTTGGCTATACCAGTCATAGTAAAGATTGCAAAGTCTGATTCTGAGAACTGTCAAGGATTTATTCTCCCCATAGAACTTATTATTATGCCTTCAATTGCATCCACTCCTACAGTCATGGGAAGCTGTAATGGATAGTAACAAGTATGTGCCAACTCTCCTTCAAAACTGCAAGTTTTACAGAAAGCTTACCAAGTAGAATCTGTGCAAAGAACAATATAAAAAGAAATGAAAAACAAACAGCAAAACTTATTTTAATTGCTGTTTCCATACAGTGAAAACCTTAAATTTTGCATTCATTCTCTGAGCTAGTTAAGCCCATCCTTTTTCAGCAAGTCTATTTAACTAGTTTGATATAATTTTTTTCACAAGTTAAAGGTGTCAACATCACCTAATTTGCACTTTTATGATTGGTGGGGAAGGGCCCAGTCTTTGGGCACTATACTACAACAGAGCCACAAATATCCCCACAATGATATCAATAAAAGTTTGTAAAAAGATCAGAATTAACATATTTTAATATGACAGCACTCATCACCATTTATTTACAAGAGGGAAGAAAACAGCATTCACTAACATTTATGACAAGAGATTTTGATCCAGTCACAGGCCCAGGGAACAGGTACCTCATTTTGGCACACAATTTACTTCATTCAAACTAAACTCGGTCAAATGACAGTGACTACACTCTAGCTCACACAACACTTTATCCAGCCACTCCTTCTAGGTCAAACAGCACAGAGTCCACAGTCCTTCTCTGGCTCCCTTTATTTATTTCAAACTTATCTCTGAAGCTAATGATTTCTTCTCTCTCTCCCTACTCAGTTTTGTGAATTATCCCGAACTAACACGGTTGTGCATGCATGTATTCCTTTCCCCTACCTGTCCCCTCCCCTCTCATCCTTGTATTATGCAAGGGAAGCAAAGACACTTCTGTGGAATGTTGCCTGAATAGACAGACAGACCATAAGAATTTTAGGGAAATCTGGGATGGAGGACACTAGAGGGTACCAGCGTGCACACATGTATGCACACTGCGTGCACGTGCACACACACACACACACACACACACACACATGCAGACCTTGACCTCATAGATCCCAGAAGCAGGGTGGGATGGGACAGCATGGAGGCCTGTGGCTGGGCTCCATAGCCCACACACAGAGGCTAGACCCAGCTGGGAGTGACCCCTATGTGGTGCCCCCCAGGCTCTGCCAAACAGTGCTGTGTGACTATATGGCACCTCCCACTACCACCAGCAGCTGACCAGGGCACAGACAAAGTGCAGAGCCTGGATCCTCCCCACAAAACACAAGTCTCCAGCAGTTGGGTGGGCGGGTTGGGGGGAAAGATCAAGTCACCTCAATGGCAGAGACGTCCCATTCTCATCTGGGCTTTGGGCAGTGGTGGTAGCAGCTGCTCCCTGGTCCCAGCTCCACTGGGCTGTGAGATGAGAATCACTTGTGCAGTAGAGTCAGTCAAAGGCCAGGCATGTGCAGACGGGTTTCTGCCAACACGGGATTTTTGCTTCCATTTTCTCCAATGGCCAGGATGCTGAAACAGCCTATGAATTCTGGAACTGTCCTGGCCAACATGGAACACAGGGTCACCCTATGGATTGAGAACCTGACTAAAATACTTCCACTGTATAACCACTTCAGTAGTGGAAGATGGGGGAGATGGCTGTTTCAGAAGCTATTCATACAAGTTCTACTAGAGTTCTAGTCAATTTCTCTGTTCTGCTACTTCTGTTTGTGAACAGATAGATAAAGAGGTCTTGACTAAAGTTGGTGAGCTTCCTGCTCATTGACTTAGATGATCATATGCATAAAGGGAAGAAAAGAAAGATTCTGAGGTTAGAACAGCTCCTGTCCTTTTTAGTTACTTCTGTTTCCATTCCTGAATGAAAGACACACCTGCAGAAATTATTATTACTACCTAGTGGGCATGTCTACATGTGCTATTAATGCAAAGCAATAAACTCTGGCTCAGTTTACAGTGGAGTTTATTGCTCCTGGGTGCTGCACTTGCATGCATGCCTTGGTCCACAACATGTTGAGCCAGGTCAGAGCCAGCTGGCCACAGGCCCCAGGGTGTTAGCTTGCCAGCACATGGCTACTCTGACTTGGCTCAATATACCATGGAGGGGCTGGCTGGGGCATGAGGGTGCTTCAGAGTGGGGCTAGCCAACAGACAGCCCTGCACTGAAGAACCCTTGTCTCCCAGCCAGCCCCAACACATGCATTGTGGTGCACTAAATGATGCTGTCATAGGATAGTACTTTGTCTACAACTACTATCCTATGACGGCATTTATTAGTTTACTGCATCCTAATAGGTTTATTATGATTTATTAATTTATTAGTTTACTGCATCTTAATAGGTTTATTAGTTTACTGCATCCTAATAGGGACATGCGTGTAGATGCTGATACTTTAGTACAGTACTAATTAGTCATCTCCACAGTAAACATCTTGTGTAGGCACATCCAGCATTAATAATTGTGTTTTCATATACAAACCCAAATGTGGAGTGAGGTGCCATAGCAGAGGCATTATACAAACGACAAAAACAGACTGCTTGGGAAAGGTCATCTTTAGGGAGATGATAAACATACAAGAGCAAGAAGTGTATTTGCATAAAACAGTTGTTAAAATGGTCTGGGTCGTAACAAGTGATCACTAGCCTATACAATGACAGGTAACAGTAATTTGCAGAAAGCACAGCAAAGTAATCTGAAATGAAATTCTAGAGCTGATATACTCCATCTATGACTGCAAAAAAGCTAACTTAGATGGGGAATTTAAGATCATAGGAAAGTAGGGATGGAAGGGACTTCATGAGATCATCTAGTCCATCTCCCTACTCAAAGTAGGATTATCTATGACTAAATCATATCAGTCAAGTGTCTGTCTAACCTACTTTTGAAAACTTCCAAGGATGGAGGTTCTACAGTTAACCTTGGTGTCGTAACCCAATGATTTTTAGTGCTTCGGCACATTGGAATTTTCCCGCCACATGGAGCTTTCTTTGCACAGTGGATTTCTCAGCTGCAGAGAGAAAACCCCAGTGCAAAAGAGTTCCCGCCACACGTATGCAAATTAGTGTCCCACTATTGGTCAATTCTAAATTATTCCTACGTGGCAGCTAGCAATTGGCTCGCTAGCCGTATAAAAGGTTACAGCAGTTTCTGCCCAAGTTGGAGGACTCCACAACCATCTTGTGGGGAACTCTAAGCGCGCTGTGGAGCCTAGCAAACTCCACGTGTGTCTTGGAGGAGGACATAGGGACCTGATCAGCTTCTAACCACTCCCCGTCATAGTGGAAAGATTGACGTATCCCCCGTGTTGAGCGTGCGGAGTCGTACATCGACAACTCATCTCGGTTTGGTTCAAAAGAGATCTCACTTCTGTTTGTTTGTGTGCAACTGCAACTCAAGCAAGTTTCCTTCCTGCACTGTGACCATCGGCAGTGTAAGTAAAGCTTTCTTTGTACAACCAATACGCTTCTGTGCCTAACTCTACTCCGTCGTGGAAAAACCTGACCTGACGGTCCGGGCTACTGGCCATAGCCTTAGACCGCCCTCGGTCCTGACACTTGGCAGCCTCTTCCAGTGCCTGACCACCCTCATAGTCTCAAAGTTCCTCTTAATCTCCATTTTTTAACCTTTAGCAGGGAAAAAATGGCCTAAATTTTCCCTGCTGAAGGTTGAGGCCATTGCTTTAGTCCTGTCCCCTATGGTCACAGAGAAAATCCCATCTCCATCCTTTCTACAATTATCCTTCCAGTATTTGAAGACTGCTATCAAATTCCCCCTCAGTCATCTCTTCTCCAGACTAAATAACTGTAGCTCATTCAGCCTTTCCTTATACATCTCATCTCCCAGGCCCCTAATCATTTTTGCTGCTCTATCCTGAACTTCTTCCAAACTGTCAACATCCATCTTGAAGTGTGGGGCCTAAAACTAGACAGAGACTTCCAGGTGAGGCCTCACCAGTGCTGAATAGAGCAAAAGAATCACTTTCCTTGATCTGTAAGTGACACATAATACAACCAAGTATTTTGTTGGCTTTTTTTGCAACAAAAGCACACTGTTGGTCCATATTCAGCTTATGTTCTATTGAAACCCCCAGGTCCTTCTCTGCAGTACAGAAGCCTAGACAGTCACTCCCTAGTCTGTATTTGTGCATGTGATTATTCAATCCCAAGTGCAGGACTTTGTACTTGTCCTTGTTGAATTTCATCTGATTGATTGTGGACCATTTCTCCAGTCTATACAGGTCATTCTAAATCCTAGGCCTACCCTCCAGAATGTCTGCAACTCCACCCAACTTCGTTTCACCCACAAATCTGCTAAGTGTGCACTTGATCCCATAATCATTAGTGAAGATCTTAAACAATAGATTGCTGGGAAATGAAAATGTGATAATGTCAAAAGCCTTACTAAAGTCAAAGAGTGTCACATCTACTGCTTTTCCCCCATCCACCAAGCCTGTCACCTTATTCTAAAAGACAATTAGGTTAGCCTGACTTGCTCTTGGTGAATCCATACTGGTTGTTCTGGATCACTTTGGTCTCCTCCAGCTGCTTTGCAGTAGATTCCTAGAAGACCTGTTCCATGATTTTCCCAAGTATCAAGCCCAGGCTTTCCCAGATCCTCTTCTTTCCCTTCTTAAGGATGAGTACTATACTTGCCCTTTTCTGGGACCTCACCCAACCTCCATGAGTTCTCAGAGAGGATAGCTAATGGTTCTGAAAATACCCCAGCCAATTTGTTCAGTATCCAAAGGTCCATCCCATCTGATCCTGCCAACCTGAAAGTAACTGGCTTTTCTAAGTAATTCCTAACCTGTTTTTCTTCCACTTTATACAGTTTGTCTCCTTCCCTATCTTTGCTTCCAACTGCATTCATTTGGTAGTTGCCCCTATTTGTGAAGACTGAAGTAAAACAAGGCATTAAATATTTCAACCTTGTCTGCATCATCCATAACTAGATTGTGTTCCACAGTCCATAAGGGACCTATGATTTCTCTACTCTTCCTCTTACTTTTGACATACTTGGAGAATCCCTTTTTATTATTTTTCATGTCCCTTATCGTCTGCATCCCAAGTCACATGTTAGCCTCCCTAATTTTCTCTTCCCTAGTAGTGTGACCAAGTTTCCACTTTTTATAGGATTCTTTGAAGAATATGAGCCTAATCCAATATCCACTCAGGTCAATTGAATGATTCCAATGATCTCAATTAGGTACTAGAAATATAATAGAAAGAAAAACATTTGAATGGATGGCCTTGCAGGTTACTTAGAAATAGCTTGCTGTCTCATGAACTGCACTTAGAATTTTATTACATGAAAAGTGCGTTTGCAGAGTATTGCATTGATAGGGTATCCTAGACATACCTTGTTGCACAAGGTTATTTCAAGATATTCTGACAACAGTTATGGATATCTGAGACCATTTGAAAACAATCAGACCTTTCTGCTATTTTGACCAGGATGTACTGCAATCAAGGTGTTGACCCCTGTCCTCCATAACATATAACAACTGAACATTTTCAGGGAGATTTTTACGATTTGGAGAATAAGCCAATTTGGAAAATAAGTCACTACTACTGAACGCTTGCTCAGGACCACTAAGACCTTCTCTAGTCTCTGAGAGTACCTCTTGAAGTGAGCCTAGGTGTGTCTTCTCAAGCAAGGGGGTAGCCTGAGCTCCTTCCCATTCTTGAGAAAACAACTTAGTATCTCACCCTCCCTTGTTCCCCTTATCCCCGAATCAAGGACCCAGCATCCCATTCCATTTGCAAGGGAGGAGTTTCACCTCCTCTTGGGGTGACCCAGCGCAACCAACTGTTCTAAGCAGCATAGCAGACAGTCTCTTCAGTAAAGGCATTTATTGGGCCAAAAAACACACAGCCAGAGATTCTCTGTCTCTTCCAATGGGGTTAATCAATCCCTCCATCCTCAATCCAGGCACAAAGCCCTGAGTACCCCTAGGGTGCTCCCCTTCTAGTCTCTCTGGCTCCTCAAAGTTTTTCCACTTCTACAGCCCCAGACTCTTCTTGCCAGGAGCTGCCAGCCTGCTTCTTTTTCAACTTGCTCTCCCATTGTCATCTATCTCCTTTGGATACCTCTTGGGTGTGGAGCATCTCACCTTTGCTGATATGTCAACAAAGCCATTCAAGACTGCATTGTTGCTAATGGTTCATCTGGTCTCCTCCTGCATGTAACTAGCCCTGGCAATTAATCCTTAATTCTATGTGCACAGGCTAAAGAAGTAAACTGAACAATAGGATATTATAAAAACTTGAACACAGTTAAGACAGAAATATCACAGTAAAACCCATAGCTCATCACTGACATGCTGCTTGAAACAGACAAAAATGGAAAGCTTGTTTTATCAAGGAGGATTTGGAAGTCCTTGAAAAACGGATAGGATAAAAATCAGGATGATATAAAACTATTATGAATTGAAGCTGAATATGCTTTAGACAGCAAGTTTGTTATAGGGATAGATTGTAGGCTTCCTCCTCACCAGAAAGAACAACTGGACTATGAAATGACTACCCTAATAAAAAAAAGCATTTAAAAAAGCTAGTGTGATAGTAATGTAAAATTAAAATTATCCAGATAGATAGACCCTAGATTACATCTATTGAAAATAATAAGACTGGGAAGCAGGGAGGGAGAAAGGAGGGGCATGTAAAATGTGCTAGCATATCTGGGACGTGACTAAATTCAGTATATCCATCAAATGACAAGGAAACAACAAGAGAACTGAAATCCAGCAATAGATAAGGTATGTTCAAGGCAGAAAAGAATCTTGGAAGCATGATGAAACTCCGAAGCAAATGACACAGATAAGTAAAAGACATATTGTGTATAGTTGCCTGGACTAGGTCCACTTATTAAACCTTCCCAAGCAAAGCACAATGGGACAATGACCTAGGGGGATGCAGGAGACAGCCAGGGATGGGAGGATACTGAATAAAAACTTATTCTTAGCACTGGAGTTTTTATGGGAGGTAGGAAGCCATGCTGTTGGAATGTCACAGCTGGGTGACATTTGCCTGGAAACAGAGGTTGCAAAAGGACTAAGTAAAAAAAAATCATACTGAAACTCTTAAATATCAAGGAAGGAGGCTGACAGAAAAGTATATAAATAAAAATTAAATCAGGATTCAAATACTGCTAAGGAGGGGTAGAGCAGTAAATAAAATAAAAATAGCCAAGAAAATAAAGATGAATAGCAGGCAGGTCTTTAAAACACCCAAGATATAACTAGCTAGATGAAGAGTCAATGGGTCTATTAAGGGACACCAATGGCAAGTTAGTGACAGATGAGGTTGATATTGCTGGGAGCCTGAATGAATCTTCTGCCTCATTTTTAACAGAAGAAACTGAAGGTCATTCTCCAGTGTGAGGGAAGTTTGCCTCACAGGAACAGCATATTATTTATTATTTGTATTCCATAGTACATAGTCCCCCTACTCATGGGCCAGAACACCATTGGGGTAGGCACTGTGCAAGCACAGAACAAATTAAAGTATGAATGAATAAGAATGACTAAATCAATTAATAAAGAAGAATAAATTAAATTATTAAGCTCTACCATTTTCCCAAAGTTGACATGCAATTAAAACTGTTAAAACAGGATCAGACTCAGACACAAGTGTGTCAAAAACAAAAAGGAAAAGGAAAATAGGAACACCTATGGAAAAAATTGTTTGGGTTTTTTTTTTCCTGTTTATTCTTTCATTTGTTTGTTCTTTTTGTGTAGCTTATGGCAAGTGGAGAGAATTCCAGGAAATGGCTAATGTGCAAAAATGTTCCCAAAATCAAGAAGGAATAATGGGAGTATTTTGTTCTCAGTTGTGAGGGACTACTTACAGGAAAGATTAATAAGAGAAAGGATTATGTACAGTATGCAGCAACATAAGGACCAGTCAGCCTAGATGCATGAAAGCAGGATCACACCTGTTAGACATGCTTGAGTTTTTTATTGAATTTGAAGGGAAAAGGTGAGGTAAGGGATACAATTTGTCTTGATTGAAAAATAGGTTCATGCCACAAATTCATGCACTTTACAGTGGGGCTTGATTGCATATGTCAGAAAACACCATAGAAGAAAAGAGTTATTAAAAAGAATTAAAAACCTGTTTAAAGATAAAAATAGTGTCGTGGTACTAGGCAGTTACTGGTAATGGGGGAAGATAATAAGTGGGACAGCCAATGCCAAAAGGCTCAGTAATTTCCAAATACAGTGAAGCAAAGAAAATCATTTCAAGAAATGAACATGATAGCTTCCTGAGTCAGGCAGAGGTAACAGATGGATTGAAAGACTTTCCCTGGTCATCAATTTGCAGAAAACGGGCCTCCATATTGGAAAATACAGTCAGCTGTCAATACTACATCTATCATGGTGACTGCAACTCATGTAGACATACCAATATAATCTTTAAAGTAATTAGCTTGATTATTGGTATCCCTATATCCACAACAACATCAAACAAAGCTGAGCACAATTTGGGGGTGTTTTTTCAGCCTCTGCCCTTAGTTAGTATCAGAAGCAATCTACGTTGATTTGAGTGTCATTACATTTGTAATCTATATAATAAGAGAAAAAAATTGAACCAAACTGAAACCAAGACGTGGTATTATAGAATATATTATGTTAAGTAGGCATACATAATGTATATGTTTATGTACATACATTTGGGTTTTAACTCGTCTCTCCCCTTCCCTCTCTCATCTCTGCTAGTACAATTTGATGCAACTCTATTCGTCACTTTTTATCTGGAAACCTTCCTGTTTACAAGAATATTGGATGGTAAATAAATAAATAAATAAAAAGCTGAAGATGACCCAATTCTAGGGTCCCCTGCAAAACCCCTAAGGCAAAAGACACTGTAGAATCTGGGTACATCACTATACAAACTGTCTCATATCTGAAACTAGATATTAGTTTACAATAATATTTTGCTATTAAGCAGGATATTTTTGCTAGGCATGGTCTAGATTTTTCTTTGGGCTGCACATCAAAGGAAAAGGTGGGAAGAAGTAGTAAAAGACTTCCCATATTCCTGCACGAGCTACCCACACATTAAGTCCAGGCAAGTAAAAAAGTACTATGCGCCTATGTTCTGTCCACTGAAGCAGATAACTAGCCAGTGGCTGGGAACCATATGGACCTTTGGTTCCTTGCTCCACAATGGCCATAATAACTGAACAGCTACAAAATGGAATGACAAACATAGGTTGCTACAGTTACAAGTCAGCCACAAATTGCTCCTCACTGGAGCTAGGGGACAGATGGGAGGAGAACTGAACCATTATTCATCCTGGGATCATCCCAAAAGAGATGAAAGACTGTAACATTTTAATATTATAAAAGCCTAAGTCTGTCTGTCTGTCCATAAGGCTTTATTTGCACTCTGACTGGCTGATGGAAACAGCCAATCAGAGTGCTCCAAGCATGGGGGAGTGCTGCCATGATTCCGAAGTCGCGTCAAAGACTGGACAGAGGGTGGGGGAGCCAAGGCCAGCAGCACAAGAGGCAGAATAGCAGCAACATGGGGCATTAGGTGGCAGCACTCCTTCCCAGTCTCCCTCTCCACCATCATTATTGATGGGCAATTGGCTAGTTCCTTAATAAATTGTATCCTTTTGGAATTAAACAGCCCTCTGACTGTACTTAATACGCATTCCATGTCCTCATATTTTGATCAGCATTATATGACAGAACTGTTTGCTGTGTGTCTATGGTTCTAAGTTTGGCTCCACTGAAATTTCCGGCAACATACCCATTGACTCTGATGAAGCTAGAATCACAAAGTAAGTCTAAGTGGTTTGTCACTCACGGCATGATAATGATAGAACCATAGGATTTAGAGAAAGATTAGTTATGACAC